CATAGTTACTATTGGGTTGGAGATTAGACACAGGGGCTGTAGGCTGATTACTCCAGGAAGCTGTCATAAGCTGTTGGAGCTGCTGAGTCAGCTCTAGGACCTGTGCTTGAAGAATAGAAATGGGATCAGGGAATTCTTCTGCTTGTTCCATAATGGTGGATATGGAATAAGGCAGGTGTTGGGTGTGTGTGGTAAGAGTAAAGGCAGGTAAGAGTAGAGGTGGAGTGGTGAAGCAGAGGTTGTCACTTGGAGACTTGGTCTTCTGTTAGGGCAACACAGGCTGACTAAGTCTGCTCACCTAAGAGTGCCAAGAGTCTAAGCAGGCAACAAGGAAGTGGAGTAGACCTGATGACTAAGACCTATCTACAGTATAGGTACCTGTGGATGATCCTAAGAGACCAAGTCTGAAGAGACAGTCCCCAGGCAGAGTAGGCCTTATATTTATACCTCTGTGGTGGAACCTGCTAGAACATCTTGCTTACTCAGCCTAGTCAGGTGATCAGGTCATATGACCAAGGATGAGGTCATATGAGGTCATGCACAGCCATGCACAGCAGGTCACCTGACCATCCAATCCTTCCAGCAGGTTCCAGCACATGCCAAGGTATACCAGCTACTTCCATGTCATAAAGGCTTAGTCATGTCTCTTGACCAAGCAATGAGCTGGTGCCCTGACAGGAGGGAGGCAGGCAGGGTAAGTTTTTTTTTCATTCTCTTCCACAAGTACATGTACAAGTTCTCCACATGGCCTGCACATGCATGAAGTCTCTGCATGGCCTGCTGCATGCATGAAGTTCCCCACTAGTATAGAAACCTGCATGTTCTTCTTCTTGTGCCTGTACAATGCTTGTTGTGAGTTCTTGTAGTACAGCATGCAGAATTTGAGCTTGTTGATGTGCATGTGCATGTGCATGTGCTTTGGCTTGGAATCATGTGAGGTGGCAAAAGGATCCATTGACATGTACATGCTCATCACTCATCTTGTTTATCCAGTCTAAATTTCAATTGCCCATCTACAAGAACAAGAACAAACATGGCCTGCCTGGGGCCAAGCAAAAGGAATGGGCACAGTGCAAGCTCAAGCACAATTTGAACTGCTTGCAACATGCCAAAGCTGCCAAGCTGCTTGACATCACAGAACAAGCATGGATCCAGACACTTGACGAGATCTCCATTGACACAGGGATCTCCAAGAACATCTTGAATGCAAACATAAAGGGGAGGAAGGCTGGCTACTTTGACAACAAGTGCGGCATGAGCTTGCACAATGCAGCCAAGCATCTGCTTGCTGAAGAGGCTTGGGCAAGAGGTATGCTGATCTCTTTCCTTGTATTTGCTTTCTCATCATGGTTAGGTGACATCTTCTACTGGGCCTTGCCCAAGAACCAGCACATCATCAACTCCAAGGTGGAATGGCTTTGTGGCCATCCAGAAGCTGCTCTCTCCATAGAGCAATTGATCTTGGCCAAGCAGGGGAACAAGCATCTTCAAGTCCGGATCCCTGCCCATGCTCATCTTGCCAACACTGTCCTCATTCAAGATACATTTGAGAAAGAGGCAAGTTCTTGTAATTGATCTTGCTCGGATCTAGCTGATCTTGAATCATAGAGTTTTAGTACTCTCACAGGAGGCCATGCTTGTGGCTTTGTTGTGCAGGGCAACATCAAGGACCACGCCAAGCTGCACTTCTTTGGGGATGAACTTTGCAAGCAGTTCTTCAAGGAGATTATTGGTTACCCCATCTTGCAGATTGCCATGGGCTTGGAGGCATACTGTACAAGCAGAGGCACTCAAGGCAAGTACATCTGACCTGTATCTTCACCCTCCTTGATGGATACTCATCCCTAAGCTAGGTGCTGCCAATAACTTGAACAAGCGCATGAATGAGCTCAAGGCCTATCCAACTTGTATTGACAACCAGCCTTCATGAGCATGTGCTTTTTCATGCTTTGTGGTGCTCATATTCCAGTAGAGAAGCTCATGGGCAAGAACAACCTCATGATGTCATACAAGCAATTTGGCTGTGACATTGAAGACTGCTACAAGATCATGCTTCAAGGATAGCCATTGCTGGCACTTGTCAACCCCTCCTATATCTCCTTGCTCAGCGACCTGCAAAAGGTCCAACAAGCTCTCACAGATGGGTCTTGTTTCTTTCAACCCATGGGGGAGCAAGACCTTGTCTGCTGTGCAGAAGAGCAAGCTCATGTCTCAGCCCTTGGGCAGACAAAATGCAAGCAGGCAGCAGCAGGGGTTAATGATGGCCATGATGATGCTGCAGAGGATCTTCCACAAGCAACAAAGAAGGCAAGAATAATGAGTGCTTGTTCATTGCAGCACTTGCCAGCCACCATCAACCTCCATGGGGATGTTTCCACTTAATGCTGCATGCTGCCATGGTCCAAGCCCATGCGCTTGCCTCTGGTTCATCAACCCCACAGGCCACCGACATGTTGGCAACCTTGTTCACCAATATGGGTCAGTGGGAGTACTCAAACATGGGTTTATTGGATAATGATAGTTAACAAAAACATGCTCAAGTTCTTGGTCTACTCCCCCTGGTCCTTGGTCAGCACCTCAACTACTCCACAAAGTGCTTTCTGCATCTTCCACTTTGCAAGGCATGCCAGTGACTTTGCCTTCTTTGTATTTTCTTCTCCCGCACCTTCTTGGACTGTTGACATTGATACTCAAGATGATGCATCTTTGTTCTAGTTGTTAATGATGAGCAAGCACTTGATTCTTAACAAGTCACTTACCTCTCCAAGTATGATGCCCAAGTCTTCTCCCTCAGGCTGCAGCCATAAGGGAACTTTGCTGTTGGGTCAACAACAACTCATTGACCTTGTGCATTGAGCTCAAACAAGGTGGCCTTGGTGATGATGCACTTGGAAAGACCAGGGAAGCAAGGGTACTCGGTGATGAATGGTGGCATGGTGGTTGTGTGATGGAAAGCTTGCCAATCAGCAGAAGCAGTGTGGCCAGCAGCTATACAAGCACATGTGCATGACATATACTCCTGCTTGTGGCTGGATTTTTGCTGGATGAGAAAACCCTCATGTCTCACCACAAAGATGTGGTGGAGATGAGCACCGCCTCTTGCACATGTGCATGGCAAGGCATCCACTTCTTAGGTGTTTTGCCCTGGGGCATTATGGAGCTAGCCTGAGGGAACATCATGATTGCCGCATCCCGCATCATCAGGGTTCAGGCTCATGGAAGCAAATAGAACCCTGCCTGTACTACAGGGGAAGTTGTCCGCTGTGTGGATTCTTCACCCTTCTAATGGCATACTGCGGGTGAGATGGGCTACAATAGAAAAAGACTGGGACTAATTCACGAGCATGAAATGTCGGAATCACAGTGGGTTGCAAACGATCTAATTAATAGCCACTCCAGCTGTTTACAGATTACATGCTAATCGGGTATTCGATAGGAGGTGTTTTAGGATCATGGTAGCAATAATAGTTAGTATAGAATGATACAAGCTCGTCACGTCATTATGCCCAAAATTCCGGTTGTCGCTCTATAGCGAGCGCTCTTGATCGTAGGGGTACATAGGACCAATTATGATAACGCCCTGGTCAAAGTCGTTCTCTAGGGGTGTTAAAGGGGTTGTCTCGACTGCTTCGGAACTTGGCGTTCGCACATGTGGCTTCATCTCTATCTCCGTTTCGGACGCTGATAAATCCCAATTTTCATCTGTCTCCTCGTGCAGCTCGATCTCCCTCATCATGAGGGAGGTCAGCAGCCCAAGGAAACAAAAGGCAAGCATGACCTTCCATAATATGCTGAGACTGTCTGCAAACGCATCCTGAACTTGGTCACGGATAGGCGATGGCAGTGTTGGAATATACGGAATTGCACCGAAGGAAACATCAACACCGCCTGGGAAAAGTGTGAGGAAGGCAGTCGGAAGGCGCGTCATCAGCTCGTTTTGCAGTATCGCACTGCCGATCGTGATACCAAACGTCTGAGCAAAGGTGCGAGAAAATGTGAATAAGGCCATGGCGCTAGCGTTGCGGGATACGGGCAGTGGTGCGAGAATCGGGAACTTGACTGAGGTCCAGATGAGGCCGAGTCCCACTGCGGTGAGAATCTCGAAGCCAACCCAACTTGCGGTCGGAGTGTCGACACGCAGGAGGCTGAGAATCCCCGTGCCTATAGTGAGAAGTATCCAGCCGATCCAATTCTGTGGCACATAGCGTTTGGTGAGCACAGCAGAAACACCACCCACAAGGGCGGCAGGTGCGATCGTGAAGGCTAGACCGAATGTATCCACTCCTGCCTGGATTGGAGAAGCTCCGAAGCATGCCTGGAAGAAGACAGGCATATAGAATATGATTGCGGTAGCGACGACGGAGTGGAAGAATGTGGTAAGAAAGCCGGCCACAGAAGTACGATTGGAGAGAAGGTCGAAAGGTATCGTGGGCTCGGCTACGCAGGTAGCCTCGACGACGAAGAAGACAATTATACCGAGAAGACCGAGAATGAGTGGCACAAGCGTTTGTGCGGCAGTCCAGGAAGCCTCCACGCCCCCTCGAGTGAGCGCAATCGTTGCGGCACATGTTGATACCGCGATTAAAGCGTTACCGCTGTGGATACTGCTGTCAGAAAAGTCCTCCGAACTTCAGGGCGGCAAGGCGTGACTTACAGCCAGTCAATCCTCCGAAGCTTCTGCATTATGCTGCCGCTTGGGACCTTGAGCTTCAAAAATGCGAGGACGAGACAGATAGCAATAAATGTGAGCGGCAGGTTGATGCGGAATAACCACCGCCATGTAACATTCTGGGACAATGCTCCACCCATAGGTGGCCCAATGGCCGCGGCGAGCGCCCAAACGAGCGAGGTTATTCCCATGAATAGGCCACGCTCCTTCAGTGGGACGAGATCGGCAATAATGATTTCCGTCATCGCAAGAATCCCCCCGCCGCCCAGACCTTGCACAGCTAACCAAACAATGAGATGCAAACAAAGGAAATCGATGCGATCGCTCACTTCTTCCTGCAATCAACATGTTCATATTGATCGCCTCTCCGCATAAAATTGACCCCAAAAAGAACAGGGAAAGTGCCAAAATCATAATCGGCTGTCTTCCAAACGTCCCAGCGAGGGCACCGGATAGTCTACTCTGACGATCAGCTACCATAGAGGCGGTAAACGGATCGACTCACGGCAGCCAGGCAGCTGAAGCAAGTGTATAGGCGCTACCAACCCATGCAAAGGAGGCTTCTCCATCGAGATCGGCCACGATACGCGGTAGTGCTGTAGAAACACAGGAAGCATCGAGGGCCGAGAGAAATACCGAAGTTGAAGCAGCGGAAAAAATCAGCCAGAACGCGGCACCTCGTTTTGGTTTGGAACGGGCACAGTACCCGCCCTCCTCTGAGGCCCCACTGGATGGCAACGGAACGGCTCTGACAGTAGCAAAACGGTCGTCGCTCTTTTCCAAAGAAACTGTCGAGTCCATAAGTGCGAGGATAGAGGGAGAAAATAGGTTGCAGACCTCACTTCCGTCAAAACATGAGCTGTTATAAGGAGTGCGCGCTTCTAACGAACACATCTCTTCTGTAGTGACGAGCATAACGCAATACTCATCGCAGAGCTTGTTAGTGCCTTTCGGCCACATTAGCATGAAACCATTCGCGTGGATTCGAAGCTGGAGCAAGAGATTAATGCGGTGCTCACCGTCCCTACGAAGTGAGCCGTATCAGGGACGTGGGATGTTCACAAGCAGTCACCAATGACTCAATGTACTGTACATCCCACTCAAATTCGTCTCAATAATAGACACTTCCACTGAGAGTCGATATCTTCAGAAGACAAGTAGAGCATTTGGAAAGTCGGGACTGTCATCCTCTGTCAAAGAACGAATTGTTTCTGTCCTGTAGCAAGATGTTACCTCCATGCCGTCGTATTAGGTAAGTTGAAGAACGTCATCGGTCCCGGTCCCACATCCCCGCTTCAGGCGCTTGTGGAGGGCTTGTCTCATACCCGAAGTCGCCGGAGGCTTCCAAATACCTCCGGCGTTTTATCACCGCGCGGTATGCCCGATTTTGGACCGATGAGCGTTTGTTTTTGGATTCATTTCGTCCGGTTCTGAATGGTGTAAGCCTGGATCGTCATGTTCACGTGACTGCGCTCACGTCATAGAGATGCTTCACCTCCTCATTCGGGCGCTATAACGGTGAGAAGCTCTCTTCATATTGAAACGCAATGAATGAATGCACGTTACCAGTCGATATCACTACGGGTCCTGTACTGTGGCATTTGGCTACCGGCTACAAGCCTTGTGGAACACCGCACGTTCCTGTGGTGTGTGGGCTATACCCCTCGTTCGATGTCCATGTTTGTTCTTTCCAGACCCATAGGAATATGGATTATGCAATCAGAAGATGTTATCAACCTGCTGACTACAAAAGGAACGAGGTCGTAAAGAATGGGGAATGAATGAGACCTGTGATTGGCGTAACGAGCGCATATACACTGAACACCATGGTGCACTAGCGCAAGATTCTGTAGCTTCCTTTGATGATGCTTTGTTCTATGTTGATATCTTGCATGGTCAGTCCCACCCTGTTTGAAAGGCCGAAATGGCGGGCAACGCCTCTACGTGTCATTTTAATTCCTCAGCGTGTATGATCAAATAACATTCCAAAATCTTAGGATACATGAAAGATGATAAAGTAGTGTGCAACGTCGGGCATGAAAGGAAGCCAGGCTACGCCTCAGCGACAGCAGGTGTAGTCTCGGTGGTTACCTCGGGCTTGTCGAACGGGCCGCCATGTCGTTCCAGCATCTGCTGCTCCAAGCGCCACAGGTACCATTGAAACGGCGAGTAGTAGCGCGGACTGAGCCATGCATAAAGCCATCCTGACTCTTTCTGCAAGGTGCCGTCGTAGTCAGCTGCGAACGCAAAAGTCAGGGCTCTGAGAATGACGCTGAGGAGAGTGGTCATACCGGCCAATTCTTTCCTCAGATCGAGCCATGTCTTCGTCACATCAGTTAGGATGGCGTTCACTTCCCACCGTACACACTCCATCATCTCCTCCTTCTTATTCACCGTCCAAACCATGACTTCCTTGTTTCCTGCTTTGCAGTCCTTGATGAACTGTTTCCCCTCCACTGTTACCAGAGCACCGAAGTTCATCGAGAAGCCATCGCATTGATCCCAGAAGTATTTGCGCGCAATGTCTGGCGACATGCCAATATGCGCGCGCCGGCAGTAGGGAAGGAGGTCCTTGGCAGGATTGAGGAACTTCGGGTGCCACAGACCAAGCAATATGCGCGGTGCGAGGTCTGTTTCCCAGTTGGGCTGGGACGCAATTACCTCATGCATGATGGTGAAGAGCCGGACGGGATCGTTGTACACCTTCACGTCGAGGTTGAACTTGAGGTGCTTGTTATCTGGCTTCATGAGCAGCCCGACCGTCTGATTGAACGTCGGAATGGGCTGCTTGGGCTCCTTCTTCGTCCGTACATGCTCCATCCCCTGTTCGCCGTGGTAGTTCTGCTCACGGATGAGACCATGACCGTCGGTGGTACGCCCCAGCGCTGGATCATGGAACATCATGATAACGCCGTCCAGTGAGACATGCACGTCTTCAAATTCTGTCAGCTTGCACTCGCAACATTACTGATGCATGCACGCACCACTTTCGATACCCTCTGCACCATCCCTAGCTGCACCTTCGAAGCTCGCAAGTGTGTTCTCGGGGAACGCAGCAGATGCCTGACCATCCACAGTTCAAATACCATCTTGTTTAGACCATTTTAGAATCACACACACCCCACGATGACCCCAGCACTCTGGAAGCTTCCTTGCCATTATCTGTTTCGTCGACAAGCCAAAGAGGAGCCCTCTAAAGGTGGGTAGTCTGATGATGAACCGCAGTGTTGTCGGTTGAACGCAACGACACAGGTCGTGGCGGGTCTATAGGCTGTCGCCAGAAGGTCAGGCCGGTCTAAGGGCTGATGCCAGCAGCCGAGTTAGTAGGGGGCTGTTCAAGGACAGATTTGCTCATTGGTGATCCATGATAGTCGGGGTTCAGTGACGCGCAGGTGGGCTCATCGTTTCCTATGATTGGTCAGCCATGCTGAGTGGGGTCATCACCAAATTTAGAAGGATGGACGTGGTGGACATTGACGAGCAGCATATAACAAAGTACAACACATACATACAGGATACACTTATACAACGACAATATACCAGTACAATATCCAGATAACTCAAATCAGCGTGATCTTCGTCCTCACAAGACCTCCTCTCCAGTTCTGCATCCCAGCGCTCTTCAAGTGGGTCGCATCCCTCTGCATCCTCGCGAATGCCTCCTGGATGTGTGCAGATCTGAGGGGCCTCCTCGCCTCGGGGGGTCGCATGAAGAGGCTGCTCTGTACGCTCGGCGGTAGTCCAGGCCCTTCATCGTCTTGTTCCCCACTTAAGCGCGCTTTTTTGTTTGGCGACTCATCAGACGACGCCAGTTTTCGTTTCAATCCGGTGGTTTGAAGTTGCGCTTCTTCGAGGATGCGCTTGATTTCCAGCCCGCCGATACAGAGGGAGCGTACCATCTCGTACGCCAGGAAGCCAAGGATATCGATGATATCGTCGTTAGGTTTGATGTCAGAGTATGCAGAGAAGTTGATGAACTCTCGGAATCGCTTGGCTACGGGGAGTCAGACAGGTGCACAACTGAGTATTCTGCTCGAACTTACACTTTCGGAAAGTAAATGATGCTTGTCGGCACTCTGAATAATGTACATACTCCTCCCGGGTCATCTTGCGGGTTGCTTCATCGGCATCCTATATGCACGTATCAACATTTAGTTCCATCTCTTCACCAGGCTTGACTACCTACCTTCAGTCGTACATTCATATCCTCCGTAGCTTCTTGTCCATCCTCGTCATCTTTATAGTCCTCCTTATAGTCCAGGGTATGCTTGAGGAAGTCGGAATAGATCGTGGAGATCTCCCAGGGGAGCTTGACCGTCATCTTCGTGCTCTTTGTCGTCAGATCCGCTGGATCACGCCAACGTCAGTCAATCCCATGAATAGCCGTGTAGAGTATGACACACCAGCATTCTCTTCCAAGGCCTCCTCCTCCATATTGCCGCCCGAGTCCTTGCTCGCTTCCTTCGCCTCCCTCCTTACCTCTTTCCAGCTCAAGTACGTCCGCAAGCGGTTCACCTTTCCCCTGTCTCCACGTATAAGGAACATGAGGTCCTCTGCTGTTAGATGCCGCGCTCCACGCTTCACGGCAAGGTGACGAGCGAGGATGACCTGAAGGTGGTGTTAGATGCCATAAAGGGACAATGAGAGAACTTACAATTTCGATCACCTGTCCACGCACGATATCTTCTACCAACTGCGTTGTTTCTGGAAGTGGCTCAGGTACTTCCCCAAATACAAACAACTGTACATGAATGTCAGGATCGGCACTGATAGACAAATGCACGCTGAGCGCACCATCTGGGCAATCTCCTGCTGGTACTTATACTCCTTCCCAATGTCCCCATCTTTCACTTTTGCCTTGCTCATGATTCCAGCTCACAAGACTGTGGCATATAAATAACCGAAAATATCCTGGGATTTGGGGTGTGAGAGGTGGGTGTTGTGCTCAGAGTGGCGTTGGGCGCTTCCAGACATCTTAGTTGCTTGGCGCGAGCCGACTCTGAGTCTGTTCTGTGCAACGGACAGCATTCACTGACCGGGATAGTGTTCCTATCTCTTTCGCTAGAGAGCCAATCATAGCGTCAGACCATATTCAGCTATGTCTGGTGCTGTTTCACGAGCCGGCGAAGGCGTACGACCTGCAGCGGACTCATACAGGCCGGACGGTTACGTGCGTTGATGTCAACTTCTACGTACTACTTTCTCACTTGACCCCAGGGAATGTCACAAGCGCTTCATCGTGCACGCCGACCTTTCCATGTACGCAATGCCATAGTTGGAGCAACTGTTGCTGTTTTTGTCGTCGGTGTCTACACCTACTCGATCCGCGCTGTAAAGCAGGAAGACTTCAGCGACATCGACATTCTCGCACCTGCAGTAGAGGAGCGAGCGGCCATCAAGAGTATCGAGGATGAGCAGAAGGAAAAGAATCAGCTTGCTGTATTAAGAGCGGGGACTTTGAGTCCTCTGGGGAGCAATGCGACGCAAAGGGCTAGCCCGGCTGCTAACACGCTGGTTAACGAAGTCCTTCAACCTGGTACGAGCAACACGCCGGACTCTGCTGCACCTGCCACCTACGAGCACGCTGCCCCAGCCAGTCTACCCCGCGGGTTTGTTAGCAAGATCATCCCTCAAGCTCTGCACCCCACCGATGGAACGGTCGTTTGGGGAGCACCGAATGTGGACAAAGTTGGGTTGATTGGAGATCGAACATCTGTGTCGGGTGAAAAAAGGCGAACATGATGCAATCAAATGTGTCTGCGATGATGGTATTTGCGAATGATCATATTAGCCAAAATGTAAAACACGCCATCCATCTCCCCACTCTAATGTATGCCCATATCTACTTCTTCCCAGCCCGACGCTTCTGCTTCATCTTCTCCTTTTCATACAGCTTCTCTTCGTGCCGTTCCTCTGTAATGCTGCCCTCGACCTTGCGCATACGTTCATTATATGCCCGATCCTTCTCCATCTGTCGCTTCGCCTTCTCGCTCGCCAGGAAGCGATTGTCCTTGCGCAGTTCACGCATCGCACCACGGCGCTCCTCCTTATATTGGGCACGCAGCTTGGCAGCTGCATTCCGTTCTGCGTCAGGGTCATGCCGCTTCGACCAGCGATGGCCCTCATCGAACTTCGGTATGTAGGTGGCAATTGGTATGGGCTTGTGGGCTTGCAGATGAAGCGGGTGGCGAGTCTGGCGAGATACTTTCAGCATACGAGTCAGTCCATCAACTGACTGTGAGTGCAATTTCTAGTCAGGGCGTCAGGTGTGTATGCAGCATCACGTCACATGACGAACTCACCTTGAGACCTTCTGAGTACTTGTCCTGATTCAGTTTCTCTAAAATATCCAATGTTGGCTCAAATAACTCGATAAAGCCCTCTAAGGCAGTTAAATTCACGGCAACTTGGAGGACGAGAGTCATGGCCATGCCGACCAGATCAACTTTGGTTTGAACATCGTCTTCAATTTCCCCCGAGAGTGCAGCGAGTAAATTTGGTCGCTTTGGCTTGACACCGTAGAACTGATTCGGGGTTAGCCGCATGGCATTGACGATATCCGAGTTAAGGTCGGGCGAGGGGAAAGATCCAGGGAGAAGTGACGTGTGCAAATCGTGGGCACATAGGTAAAGGAGCGCGTTGTTCAAGAAGTTCACAGCTTCTGGGACAAGACGCTTCGACAGTTCTGTGTACTGCAGGCACAGAGTGCATAAGAACAAGCCAGATGCCATGTCCGCCAATGACCGGACGCGGCATTGTGCCAGATATTGTCCCATCAGAAGGAAAGTTGGAGTGACGACCCCATGTTCCAAGTCGCTTGTCGACCAGAGTATGCCAATCAATCGTAGCAGAGCCAATTCGGCGGGTCCAGGCCAGGTTTTCGCTTCCGGGCTCGTGGGTCCTCGTGCCAGCCCTCTCGAAAGGTTCTTTTGCATGAGCGTAAGTTTCGAAATGAAAGCCTCAGCAGCAATCACAGGGTATGTAGTCGCCAGTGCCTTGATATGGGGGAAAAGCCCAGCAACCAGCCTGTATGATGGTGTTGGCGGAGATGAGGCATACAGGACGTGGTCCAGAAGGACAGGTAAGAACGCATGCAGCTTCTCCTTGTAATCCACGCCCAGGCTAGGATGGTATCGAACTCGAATTCGGTGCACAACAACTGGAATCTGAGAACCATCGAGGCCATCGACTATTTCAAGGAATTCTTCGTGGGTTTCTGGACACGGGAATATGAATGGTAGCTCTTTAGAGGTCGACTTGATCGGATTTGTTTTCTTCGCTGGGCGAGCAGAAAGTTCGGCCTGCTCTTTGGTTTCCCCCACACCTAGATCTTCTGGTGAATCGTTGCCCTCCAGATCCGACTCGAAAGCACTTTCGTCTTCTTCACTTTGTTCTTCGTCGTCCTCGTCCTCGTCCTCGTCCTCGTCTTCCTCGCTTTCACTGTCATGCTCGTCCTCCTGCCCTAGACCTTCACCCAACCCATAATCCAGGCCCAAGCTATTCTCACCCAGATCCAGACCGTCATCAAGGTCATCTGCTTGAGCGACCCGCCGTTTCGCTTTTTTGTGACCCTCCTCGTCACTGCCGTCATCCTCTTCTCCTCTCATTCGCCGTAATCGTGCCCGTTCAGCAGTTTCCAGCTTTTCTTTCTCTTCCTCCGCGATCTCCTCCTCAGTCTTAAGTCGATTTGTTGGCTTCGAACGCTTGTCAAAAGCCAATTCTCGAACAAATTTATCGTAATCATCGTCTGATTTCGATTCCTCATCTTGCACGGGTATATGATCACCGTCTTCCGCTCCGCCTTGCACTATTGGGATGGCGGTACGTTTTCCGATCGGAATCGAGTTACTGCCGCTGCTCGCCCGGTTTGGTAGGGTATCCCGATCACCAGATGGTATAGCATATTGATTGGAGAATAGCAATCCTCTGATGTCGCCGAACTCATCATCAAGGGTTTGCCGCAGAGCATCGTCCCGCTCCCTCTCCAAGTGCCGCAAGTGTTTATGCTCCTTGCTCTTAGCAATCACCTCGGCCATGACTTCCGCCTTGTTTTTCTTTCGAGGTGGCTGAATCACTTGTTAGATAGTAGTTGCTAGTAATGGAAATCAATGGACATACGGCGTCGGGGTCTTCATCGTCGTCTGCGAAGCCACCAAAATGCCCTCTGCTCACGATCTCAGCATCAATGCGACCGTGATCATCTTCCCCTTCCTCATCAGAGAGCTTCATCCCTGTGTCGTCGAAGTCATCCATCATAGATAGGCTTTGTCCATAGTGAGTAAGCTCGACATCATCGTCCAGATTGAACAGGGCGCCTTTTGAGGCTTGCTGTCGTTCTCGGGTGAAACGTTCGAGCATACGGTCTTCCGGAGCCATTCCAGGATCATTTTCTCCGAATCGGCGGTCGACGAAGGATCCTGCTTTGTTCCGGGTGTCGAGCTCGGGCAGCAAGGTTTTCTTGCGCTATTTCGGTGGTCAGAATGTGACCGTGCTCTAGCGCCAGTTCCTTACCGTCTCTATGCCGACTTGCTTAGTGAGACCAGGTCTACCCGTTACACCTTTCAGCTTTCTCCCTCCCACATCGTGCTTAAGCCTCGTCACTTTGACTTCGAAGGGGTTGAGGTCCTGGACGATCTTGTCCAGCTTGTCCTGTCGCCGTTGACCATCTTTGCCTTCACTTGCCGAGTCGCGCTTGCGTTTCTCTCCACGCTTAGATTGTGACTTCCTAGCAAGGCCAGAATTTTGGAGCGCAGCCTTGAGTTGAGAAAGTTGCGAGCCTTTACCCATGCTGTATGGATAGTGGAATCAACTCTACAAATTAAAAGTCCAGGAAAGGGTTCAAGAATTTGCCGGGGCACTTAAGTGGCTGTGGCATATTCTATTACGTAAAGATTCTTGGGGCTTCGCAGTAACAGTCAATACATGGGTCCCCGTTCTTGGTAGCCCGACTGGCAGTTCCGTGGACAGACCGCAGAGATCGCAGGAACTGGTTATCGTCGGACACGTAGTCCCACACTGCTCGTTGCATTTTATACAGCCATCATGATTACTGCAGGCGGCACGTCCAAAATGCTCCTTCTGTGTCACGTTCGGGAATATATACCCAATGTCTGTCAGAGATTGATTGCGACGGGTAGTACTAGCTGTCATGCGACCGTGTTTTGCTACGTACCGATAGTCGAGATGGTGCGAATGTGCGAAGCGCTGGTTCACAAAACACCGTGTAGATTTCGGCGCTGGATCCGAAGACACTCCTTCATTGTCTGGGCACGTTCTTTCAGCTTACGGGCATCTTTACTTCTCGCTCCGATGTAGGGGCCGTAGTCACCCCTGAAATAGCGAAATGTATGCATCGGAACCCAAGGTCAGCTTCGCAGTCATCGACACGTGATGGATTAGCTTCCGCCCCCTATACTGTATATAAGCCTCGTTAGGATAGTAGACCCTTGCCCCTCCTCACTTCATCCTCATCCCCGACCAGCAACAGCAGCTCGCCACAATCAGCCATACTATAACCTATCAACACCCTAGAGGGTTGGTCTCATCTTACGATGACCTCGTATGATTCTTCTTCATCGCTAAGTGTATCACCTACAGCTTTCAGTGTTCTCTCGGCAACGACTACGACCGCTACTATCCTTCCGAACGTTCCCCATGGATTTGTCCGATTCAAGAACAATATCAAGGAAATGGAGCAGCTATCGTTAGAAGAACTGAAGTCAAGACTAGCGACCACAGAAGCAACCCTAACTACAGCGTAAGTTGTCCGCATATATATCCCTGCCCTTCTTCTCACGCGCTGTTTCCACAGTCACTTCTCCCCGCATGTGATGCAGAAGATGTTCGAGAAAGCCGAGTCACTTCGACTGCGCATTTCCGAACTTGAAGCAAACACTCTCGGCGACACGTTCCGTTCAGCACACATCACCAGTCCCTCATCATCGCCACCGGCCTTCGATCCCACAGCACGAGTCATCATGCGCACCCGAGCGATGGCAGTCGCACGGCCCATCATCTCTCGCGGTGGTACACAAGGCATCACATTCGCCGAGTCGAAGCCACTTGAGACCATGGCATGGGAAGTTCAGAAAGAATATGAAAAAATTGTCGAAGAAGATCGGGAGCGGAGACGTCTGCAGATGGAGGAGCAAGGTGTCACTGAGGAGACCGTGAAGTTCCGGAAGATGGAAGCGGATGGCACTATAGGAAGACCAGCTGTTAGAGAGCAGACCCAAGAAGACAAGATGTGGGCGTTCATGTAAGCGCACAAACCTTGTCATGTTCCACACTTCTGACTTCTTCCCCAGGAACTACAAAGGAGTCCAGGAGGAACTTGTGGATGAAGAATATGACGAGCCTTTGTTTCAGTTCGACGATGACGACGACGACTGGCCGGAGAATGTTACTTCTGGTGGATTGGAAAGTATTCGATCTGCCGCCATCCTACCGGGCTCCGAAGAATACTATCCACCTGACCCCTCTGGGTATCAGTATGGAAACGATACTGTCAAGTGGCTTTCGACGTAGTTTGTGACGAAGCACTTGGGATCCTTTAGAATCTCGATTCGACGCCGCCATGGCACCTGAGAGTCGGCTTGGGCTGTCCGCGTGGCAGAAGACAATCCAACAGGGAACGAAATATGCCAGATTATTGGCAAGAGAGTAAGTTGGCGTCCCTTCTCCAATTTTGGAGAAGTGCGCTGAACGTGTTCGAGTAGCAGCAAGTGACTTTATGTCTTGTCCTGTTGGCACGGTTTTCCTTCCGAGTCAACGAGGTTATCGAGAGCAGTAGGATCGTTAAAACGCCGATCGATGGACGTGGAAGATATTCATGCGATGTGTGGCATTGTACAACTAGGTTCCAGTTATATCCGCGTCACTCAAGGACGATACCCGTCATTGATTGCCTGGTCAAACGCATTGTACCAAATACTATTTCCGATATCTACCCTATATGGAAGGAGAGGCCGGTGTATACAAAAAGAATAACATAATGGGTATGGAAGATGCGAAGGTATGTCTTCGTGTCATTATCTACTCCTTACAGGTACTATCCATCGCCATCCACTTTCAACCCATTCAAGAATACCTGTTATGTGTCACGGGCATGAACAGGGCAGGCCCGTCCTCTTTGTAGCCAAGCAGATAAGCAACCTACGATGGATGGTCAGGAGGTCAACAGACATGGCCCTGATCGATGACGTACCATTGTGGAAGGTACAAAGACAACTCAAACGTGCGACCGCAGATCCTATAAGCGACAGCGTGAACAACAGCCTCCAGGTTTGAAGTATGCAGGTACATTACCTTTGACAAATTCTTCGAGGCAAATCACACCTATTCCCGTAATCAATATGGACCACATAAGAAACGCTACAGAACTCACACTCGCTGCCAATCAGCGAGCTATCCGCAGGCAGACGATACACCAAATAGCGAGCCGAATTCTGCACGCCTCCGCTCGAATTGCCCTCAAGGCAGTTCTTAACATGTATTTCTTGATCCATTGGGGATCCAAGGTCGGCAAGGTTCTGCCCACAAACCGGGCATCTGTAATGATCCGTTTCAATCAACAAGGTGAAGCGCTGTCGCAAATGACTTACTCAGTAAGGTCGCTTATTACAGAACTGGAGTCGCGACTCGTTCCAGGTGGGGCAAGTCGCTCTGGATCGACGACAATGCCATTCAACCCTCCACGAAGTTGGCCGGGGATGGATGCAGTGGCCGTAAGTTCTTCATAACATGACTGACAAACCCTGTGCATCATTTCTGGTAGAACCGGATAGGCCATACCGGGGTCCAAGACGACATCGGCAGGATACAAGGGGAATCTGTGCGAAGAACATCTGTCACAGAAAATATGACCACATCGGCGACAGTGCTATTCCAAGATGATTAGATAGCAGTGGGGATAATATTTAAAGAATCATACATGTTTTCGAAGAAGGAAACCGAAACGCCTGTGACAATTGCGGCATTCAATCACGTCTGAATCAGGCTCCCAAGTCGGTTGTAGGGAGTGCGGTAGAGGCGCAGTCCATCTCGGCGTAACTACCTTCTGCGGTGCTTCATGGGTAGGAACGCGGAACTCAGGGGCCTGAGACAAATCAGGCGTCAGGTTGGCGGCAGTACGAGACGAAGATGTCGAGGCACGAAGATTGAAATAGTCGACGCTAGCCGGGTGGGAATGTACCGAGGGAGGCCTTGCGGTCGATTGAGTTGGCGCTGGGGATGAGCGTCGCACAGGATAATGGAAGCTCTCGTCGTCATCATCATCATCGTCCTGCTCGTCGTCTTCATCGTCTGACAATTAGGTGAGCTATTTTGTCTGCATGGTATAAACGTGCATACCCTCGCCAACTGTAAACATTCGTTCCGCGCCTGCCTGCAATCGGATGCGATCCAGCTCACGGCTGTACCGATTTAGCAGAGCGTCGGCTTCTGCCTTACGTGGCGCATCGTCGTCGTCTACACGATGTCAATATGAAACACGCACTGTTCTTTTAAGAAAACATACTGAGCATCCCCGTCCGGAGTTCACTCACGGCCCGCTGCAGCTTGCCAATCGACCTCCTCACATCGGCTGCTGATCGTTCGACAGGTTCTTCGATCGGGGTCCTCAGGCTATAGGCATCAAATTCGACCCCGTAGCTGCGTGCATGCTGGGATCCCGCTAGATATCGGGCGCGGGAAACATAATCCTGGGCGGATGATAAGAATGTCTGCGGCATGGACCCCAGCTCTTGGCCCCCTTCGGATCCCCCGGCAGCATCATCATACTCGCTCAAGTATGGTGTCAAGGAGCCGTCCGGCTGCAACAAGTACATGATACCATCAGGCTCGAGATACGGCAGGGGCGGTATGTCCAAACGCCGGCGCATGACGCGGACCCATCGTCTCCTCCGACACCAAACGCTGGCGGCCGCATCAAGACCATTTGCCCTTGGGGTGGATGGGCCTATCAAACCCGCGGTCATAGCTCCGCTTCCGGATAGTAGCCTCTCCAGCTGATTTGGTGTTTCCGAAGTCCACTGGTCGTCGGGGTCTTCCAAGTGTCGGGCATACTGCCAACCCTCGATTGCATCGCATTTAGGATGCGTGAGATCCAGCGTCCAATCAGAGCTGGACAACAATTCAGTACGTAAACAACGCCACGAAGAGTGTTCTTACAGCCAAAAGAAACTACGCTCGGAACCCTCCCTGGGGGTCGCAGCATCACCCTTTGCGTTCACTCTCTTGAGATTGAAGGGATCATCCAACAGTGGCAGCTGGACGTCGCTTCGCCACGCGGGAATCCTTTCCGGAGCACCATCAGGTGGGTAAACGGTGAGCTCGAATGGTGCTCTACGACCCTTCTTGCCCAAGCCCGAAGGCGAGAATTTTGGTCTGCCGCCGTTCACCGCGAGCGTCTTCAGACGTGTATCCAGGCGCTGGTTCTCGTAAATAATGAGCGGAATGGTTGTGTGCACGGCGATCGGGTCGCATGGAGAGCTAGAGCCTTGCCATCGTTCTGCCTCGGCCTTCTGTAGGATTTCGCAAATCCAAACTTCAAATACGGCAGCAGCAGCGTCATACGCGGTTTCACCCCAGTTGTTGCGAATCAAGGGATTAGCGGCTTGTTTAGTGACAAGATAAAGAACGACAGGAAGGTGGCCCTTTGAAGCCGCATTCACTGAGATGATGATCAGCCAAATTTACATCCAGCAAGTTTGTACGTACTCAGCGGAGTCCAACCACCCTTGCTCTTTCGGTCTACACCCCTGACCCGACTATCGTCATCGGAGACGACGTCCGCAGCCCCACCTTGCTCGCAGAGCCATCTCACGATATCTAAATATCCCTTTGAGCAGGCATTGTGAAGTGCCGTCCAGCCATCTGCATCTTGCGCATGTGCGTCCGCTGGGCTCTTCATGTTGGAGATAAGATAGATGACAACTGAAAAATGCCCATTGAGGGCTGCTTTGTGTAGAGCAGTCTGAAAGCCTGTCAGGGGTGCGGCTTGTGCCCATGAGTCAACGCACGCACCTCACCCTCCTTATCCTCGAAATCTACCATCGCTCCACACTCTTCAATGACTGTACATCAACACGTTAGTTTTGGTCACATGCATTCGATCTACTGAAGAGCTTACGCCATCGAACAATCTCCAGTCTGCCCCGGCTCGCAGCAGCATGCAGCGCCGTAAGCCCAGTTCGCGGGGCAGCGTCATTCGCAAGGGCAAATGGTGAGAAATTCTCATTCTTGCCGTCTTCGTATGCTGCAGCACAAACTTTCTGCAGGGTGGTCAAGTCGCCTGAAGCAGCAGCGGCAGCGAGGCATTCGAGCAGAACAGTCGAAGGCTTTGGGGTGGGTACCGAGGGTCCAGAGCTTGGGAAAGGAGCGAGCGCTGTTGAAGCAGGCCCTTTTCCTTTGGGTTCCACAGATTGGGGTACAACTTCCGACGTCTCGTGCACCTCTTCGACTGGAGAAGATACTGTTGCTGGAGGATCATGCTTCTCAGATGGTCGAGGATAGACGAACTCCTCGTCGGAATCTTCATCTTCTTCATCCGGTAGCTCAGCTGCTGACGGAGTCTCCGATTGCGGACCACCAGGATAGACAAATTCTTCGTCCGAGTCCTCATCGTCGTCTCCAATCGGACGAGGACGCGCATTATTCATGGGCTCCGACGACAGCATTGGTGTCGTCGCGTCCAAAGACTTCTGGAGATGTTGGGCGTCGATTTGCGATGTTGCGCCTAACGGACCGGTTCTGTAAATTGAGTGAGCACCAATGGTCGAATCAGTATGCACACATGACATGCGTACTCGCTAGCAATCCGCACACCTGTAGGACCTTGCTGACCGCTCATGGCTGCAATCGTCTGCCGCACGGTATCGTCGTGCAGAGTGCCCGCCCTGGAATGCGAGAAAGAAGCAAGGAAAAGGCTCCGACCCTGACGATGCTTGAGGGGACGCGTCTGTACTGTATGCGATGTCAGCAAGCGAGCACGAGTCGCTCCCATCCGTCCCATATACTACGATGGATCCAGTTGCTACTCAAAGCAAAATGCAAGTCGCTTCTGAGTTGCCAAAGGTTGTCCAGGTCGAGGTTGTACCAACAAAGCTAGCTCGCAACTTGGGTCCGGTCGTGATCGCGTCAGCTGTCCTTGCGCCCCTCCTGCTCCTGCCGTACTGGGGTACTCGTGCAAGACTCCGTCAGACGATGAAAGAACTCGCCAGACTGGAATCTGTACCATCTATTCTTTCCAGACTAGAGAGTCATCTGGTTCCTGGGTTGCGTGAGCTCCGCATCTCCTCTGTCGACACATCCGCTGCACTCAGGGAAACAGTCAGGAGATTGGAAAACGAGAACGCCGTGCTGCGGAAGGATCTCTTGGAGCTCGCCCGACAGATCGACAAGCTGTCTGTGCGTGTAGGTATAGAGAGTGAGTTGGCGAAGATTCGGGCTGCCCAGCCTCCCCAGCGGGAGGTTAAGTTAGTAACCGTGCAGGAGGATCCACGGTACGTTTGTTTCGCAAGGAAGCATAACAATGTCTGATTCTCATGCAGTATACCCTCTCAACTCCTCAGCGAAATGGGATCTTCTCTTGGTACTGTCGCTTCTTTCATCGAAGAAGTTGACATCAAGAACGGACAACCGCGTCGCGTAGATTCTCGCGGCATCCAGCGCATGCGAGCGGTCGCATTGAAGCTCGAGCAACTGAACTCCACGCCTACTCCACCTAGAACACCACTGTCCTGATGAAGGAATCATTTAACGAATTTGTATTTCATTGTTAACTGCCTCTGCCATATGTGTATCACTGTCGAAGTCAAAGTAGCAGCATGTATGCCTCTTGTTACATTACTCCCCGCTCAACCCTGTTGTCACATCTCTTGGTAGTCCACTGTACTGCATGTACCATCCCACTCATTGTGCAATAGACCAATTCAGCTGTTTTCCCGCCCAGAAGGGGACGACAGCGTCGCCGTCCAGTTTCCACTCCTCTTCGATCTGAAGAGGAGCTCTTTCCAGCTTGACAGGGGCCGTGCCTTGTGGCACCTCATATTCATAATACTTCCGTCCATTGGTGCTTACGAATGCTTCCAGCCTATGTAATGCGCCAAATGATTCCAGAAGATGGGCGACAAGCGGAAGGAGGATCGGGGATGTATATATGCCGGCTGCGCAGGGCGACGATGGCATAGCGGTAGACTTACTCTTAGGGGGATGCGGCGCGGAGTCTGAGCCGAGGAAGAAACGAGGATGCCCTAGATAAGCGCTCAGTCAAGGAAGTTCGCCGAGTGACACGATAAAGACGAGACCTTCGCGGATAATATCTTGCAGCGCTTGCCTATCGTCCGGGAACTTGGCGACGGGTTTGCAGAAGTGCCACGAGTTGCCCGCCCAATCATCTGCCGTCATAGCTAGATGGTGCGGAGTGATCGTGCATCCTACAGTTTCACCAAGACTCTTGACGGTCTCGACGGATTGTCGAGTGGTTGCGTGCTCGAGGACTATTTTTAGCTTTGGGAACTCGGTATGAAGTTTTAACAGATGGGGGAGAAAGGCGATCTCTGCGTTGAGCACACAGATGTTCTGAGAGAATACAGCTGTGAACAATTTTCTAGATCGGGATCCAGAATGCTTACATGCGTGGCATCCGATGGAACTTCACCGTGCAGGTTGAGCACAAGTCCAGCTTCCTCCATGGCCTGGAATACTGGGTAATACACCTCATAAGATTCGATGCCGCCTTCAGACCCCGTAGTGACTCCGCGAGGATAGGACTTTACCCCTGTCATAGGTGTATTTAGAGCCATCACTGAGATATTCAGGGTTCGCCTTACCAACCACACCCGCAGCCTTGGCCTTCTTGACTTCCTCCGGGGTCAAGTCCGGAGAGAGGTATAGTGTCATCAAGAACTCAACATTCGGTTCGATTTTCTGTAACTGTTTCTTGTATTCTATCGCCTGCACAGTCGTAGTAATCGGCGGTTTCGTATTTGGCTATTGCGTTAGATGAGTGGTATTTCCGTCGTCATAGCAGATCGAAGAACCATGATATATGCTAGTCGAAACCCGCCTTTTGAAACATGGGGGGTCACTAGCTCGCTCATCGGCGGCTGACGCAGATGACAGTGGAAATCAGCAGGGGATGTCAGCGAAATTGTGTCCATTTTAGGTGGAAAACCAGGTGGTTGAGCAGCAGAGAGTCTCGCGGGGTCACGGCCAAGAACCAACCGGAAACTTGCGACGTGTTTGAATGGAAACGCAGAAAGGCTCCGGCCGGACCACTTTCAGGGTTCTTTTTGACACCGTTGGAGGGCATCCAGGTTTTGGGGCACGCCTGGACTCTGGACTCTGGATACAGATGTCAGGGTCCTAAGCTTAGTAATTTAATCCCGCTCCGCGTCAAGCGGGCAGGGCAGGGTGCATTGCTCAGCAATTCAATAGCCGGTGCTGCCTAACACCGAACGTGTAAGTCCGATAGATACAATTAGTTAGTGCTCTATCTAGACGTCATGTAATTATTAATTTATACTACTACACAAAAAACAAGAAAAACAAAGGACTTGGAGGACATCACCTCCAAGCCCATCTATTGTATTTCTATGCAGTCAATTCACCAATGACTACAGTTCACAGCCCTTCTCTTACTCTCCCTCTTCATCTGACTCCACCCACCAAGCCTGCTTGTCCATCTCCACCTTGCCATCCTTCAGATGTCCATCATTCTTCCTCCAGGCACACAGCCAGAAACTCGCCCATGTACTCCCTGGCCATTTGCTGAACCTTTTGATGAGCTTCTTCAGGCTGGTGGACTCCAACAACTTGGCATGTTCATACCAAGTTTTGTACTTGCCCTTGAAACCATGCACCTGCTTGAAGGCTTCCCCCCAAAGAACATGGCCCGGCATAGCCTTGTCCGTATAGCCACGGATGCGGGTGATGTTGCGCATGACTTCATTAAAAGTCTGCAACCCGGGCCACATCTTGTCCAGCACCTCCAGGAGCAGAAGTTGGGCAGGGGAGGATGGCAGCTTGACAGTGATGGGTGCAGGCTCTGGTGGTGGCAAAGTCAGGTTGATGGTGCCTTCCCAGTCCATTGCTGTCAGCATGGCTGCTTCAATGCCATTGATCACATCCTCCATATCCAGCAAATTGTTGGCATCAAGTGTAACCACTCTGCTACCCCAGCGTGGATGCTTAGGGTTGCTCAGCTTCACATCCTCCACCATCCTGGGCCCAGGTTCGGCATTCCTCAGGTGCACAGGAGCTGGGGATCCATTGCTTACCTCTGGTTGTCTCCTCCCATATGAGCTTCAGGGAGTAGGCATCACAAAGTTACCAGTCAGAGGCAATGACAGTGGGAGGAGTGGGGATGGAGTCTGCACCAGGGGACACTTTGACCCTCACTTATGGTCTTGAGCCACAACAGGCAGTGCCCTGCCCAGTTCTTTGACTACCTGGGGCCTGTCCTCATTCACTCCGCCCAGCAGGCAGATCAACAACTCATCCTTTCTGACCTGCACCACACCCTCCCTTCCCTGACAGATCCACATCCCCTGCTGTGATTTGAAGAACTTTGCATAGGTGATGTTCTCAAACTTCATCCTGAGGTCAGAGCTCAGCTCCAAGCCCACATGACTTGGCCATTGGCTCATCCTTGTCCACAGCTTCCCTGCAGCAGGAGACGCTTGCAGGGAGAACTGGTGAACCTGCATCTTAAATGGGAGTTAGAGAAAAGTCATAGAGTTAGTAGTTAGCTGCTTACTGAGGTGAATACAATCAGTCCAAACACCATCTCTAGTGTCTTCTCCATCTCCATTGCATGCCATTGGCATTCCAGAGTAGCTGCCCATCCACCATCCATTTCATGGTACAGCCCATGTGGGGATGGACCATGGAAGGCTTGTGTCAATGGTCCAGCCATCACGCTGACTTCGACATTTCTGCTTGAATGCCTTGGTGTGCCCCTGTCAGGGCACCAGCTCATTGCTTGGTCAAGAGACATGACTAAGCCTTTATGACATGGAAGTAGCT